TGAGATTTCTGGGAGTTGAAGTTGAAAACATCTGAAGGACCAAAGGTTGGGGACCACTGCTCTAACCTAATGGTTGATCTTCTAGATGTTTGGGACTTCAACTATCAAAAGCCTCAGCCTGTTTGGCCAACTGTCAGGAATTCTGGGAACAGAAATCCAAAACTCCTGGAAGATGAAAGCTTGGAAAACATTGCTCTATCCAATTCATCTCTCCTATGAGACAAGGGTGGGAAATGTGGGTCATGTTTTGCCTCCCTCCACAATTTACTGACTGCTGCAGTTGTCACTGCAATCACAAGAAGCATACCACCAAATATTGACAACATCTCTCCTTCTTTCCTTCCAGAAAAGAAGTGGAATCTGCAGGACACTTGAAAGGCTCTATGGCCCCCTCCTTACAAAAGGAAGTGACCAAAATCACCACTCAGAATTTTGCCAACAGCTGCAAGTACTGGTACAAACATTGCATATTATTTTTACAGCTGGTCGGCCTTTCCATAAAGAAAGGTACTCCAATACACCCTTCCCCCCTCCCCATGGGAATTTGCCCAGACCTGACTTTCTAAAGACATGGAAACAATTATTATACACAGAGGTATTCCACTCCAAAGGACATCTGAACTTCTCTTGTTCTCTCTGTGTCACAGACATTGCTAACCTAGATGGAATGCAGGAGAGAAATACTTTAGGAAAGGACTGCTAGTTAATGGCATTATGCAAACGTTGCCAACAGAAGGTCCCAGGTTTATTCCCAGACATCTCAAGATAAAAGGATCAGAAAACAGATGAGGTAAATTGACCTTTCTGCCTGCAACCCCGGGAAGGTGCCGTTGCAGGAGGGAGCTTAAAGCCCCTATGAGTTTGCCTTTCAAAAATAGTGGCAGAGTTGAGGTTTAAAATAGCCCATCTGACCTGATGGTCCCAATTCAGAGTGGGCTGTCCCCCTCTCCCATGAGTAAAAATGATAAAGTACTGCATATTATGGTCTGAATCCCTTTGGTAGCCTGCCTAGAATAACCTGACTGAATCAATTGTTGAATGATGAGTCAATGATGTTGAATAATGATCTAAATCCCACTGACTTGATGAGTTTGTATTTTATAGTTTTATCTTCTGGGTAAAGTGGATCGAAGGAAGTTCTGGGTGATTTGCACTAGGTTAGCAAGGATGCTTGATTCCTGTCCTGCCCCACCAGAAAAGGAAGGAAATGTAGACTACAGCGTTTACCTGATCCTGGAAATATCTCAGAATCTCCCAGACAGCATGACCAGTGTTCAAAGAATTCTGGTACATGTGGTCTGAAAAAAACGAACTCTTCCAAAAAATGGACCATGAACTTCCCTCAAATCAGTTATCTAGAACAAATTCCTGGGCTCACCATGATTAAATTATGTGTACCTTTTACAGTACAGGAGCCCCTGGTGGTGCAGTGGGTTAGACCACTGAGCTGCTGAACTTGCTAAACTTGCTGGGAGTGGGGTGAGCTCCCACTGTTAGCCCCAACATCTGCTAATCTAGCAGTTTGAAAACATGCAAATGTGAGTAGATCAATTGGTACCGCTCCCGCAGGAAGGTAATTATGCTCCACGTAGTCATGCCAGCCACATGACCTTGGAGGTGCCTATAGACAATGCTGGCTCTTCGGCTTAGAAATGGAGATGATCACCAACCCCCAGAGTCGGATACGACTACACTTAATGGACTAGACTTAATGTCGAGGGAAACCTTTACCTTTACTTTTACATTACATTGCATCTAGCTGAAAAACAAATTAGATCCCACAAGCCTGAAGTCTATCTGCTTCTGCTGTACCCATTACTGTTCTAGAGGGAGGAAGAATGCATCAAATGGTAATGTGTTTTTGAAAACATTTTAGTCAAAATGAGGGGTTCTTGTTACATTGTTAATGGTAACATTGGCATCCTGTTTTGTCTCAGGCCCCTTCTACACTGCCATATAAAATCTAGAGCAGTAGTTCTCAACCTGTGAGTCCCAGGATGTTTTGGCCTTCAACTCCCAGAAATCCTAACAACTGATAAACTGGCCAAAACACCTGGGGACCCACAGGTTGAGAATCACTGATCTAGATTGTCTGCTTTGAATCGGATTATAAGGCAGTGTAGACTCATATAATCCAGTTCAAATCAGATAATCTGGATTATTTATTTGATAATATGGATTCTATGGCCATGTAAAGGGGCCTTAATGTAAGTTCTACTCATACATGCAGTTGTGCACTTTTTGGTCAATGCGTAACATCTGTTTTCTCTTGAAGATTATGGAACAGGGGTTATGCTCATGCATTAAGCCATAAGGCAATTATATAACAAGAGGTTATCGCAACCAGCAGAGACCTTCATGAGAACAAAAATTACAGTACAGCCAGCCTTCCACATTTTCTGCAGTTAGAGGTACAAGATCCTTGTGAAAGTGAAAAACCATAAATAAAAATGTAATTTTCTTTTTACCTAAGAGTTCTCTAGGTTCTCCAATGTGATTCTATAGTCAACTTCCACTTGAAGTTGGCAATTGAATTGTGCTGAAGAATCAACAAATGTCTAGAGAAATGTGCTCTCTAGGAATATTTAGATCCTCCAACATGATTGTATGGTCACTTTCCAATGTATGTTGACCATAGAGTCACACAGGAGGACCAATACTAGGGTTACGGTCTGTGGTAGATGGGGTTACACTCCTCCTGAAGGCACAGGTTCGCTGCCTGGGAGTGATCTTGGACTCATAGCTGAGCCTGGAACCTCAGGTCTTGGCGGTGGCCAGGGAAGCTTTTGCACAATTACAACTTGCACACCAGTTGTGCTCGTACCTTGGGAAGTCTGACTTGGCCTGGTGGTCCATGCTCTGGTTACATCCCGTATAGATTATTGCAACATGCTCTACATGAGGTTGCCTTTGAAGACTGTTCAGAAGCTTCAACTCATCCAATGAGCAGCAGCCAGGTTGCTCACCAGAACAGCGTTCAGGAACACACAACCCCCCCC